GCACTCTCCTGGTTGCTGACCTGAACCTGCACTGGGGTGGAGAATAAAGGAAACTGAGGCTGCTCTAAATGAGGCTGCTTCCTTGGGCTTTTGGGGAGGACCCACAGCAGCCTGATCAGAAGTGGTATTTTCTCCTCTGATCACTTTCCATGGAGTAGATAGTACTGTTCTCACCCTGACTGAAAGTGTAGGAAGGCAGAAGTCTACTTTGCTACTAAAGACAGAAAGGAGACTCTGCAACCTTCTTGTCCTTCTTGTATCTCAGGTCCACCATCTGTGAGAGGAGGGGTTGAGCTAGATAGATACTTTCTGAGAAATTTCCATCTTCATGGTTCTAATCTAAGGAGAAGTGATGTGAAGAGAAGAAAATGGAAAATGCAAAGCAAGTAGGCTGGATGGGGAAGGTAACAAGAGAAAAAGAAAATAATAAAAGCAAATATGATGAACTCAATATGTACATTTAACTATGTTCTTTCCTGAAACAAACTTCCTTTTCTCTTCCTTTCTCTTTCTTTCTTTTCTTTTCTTTTCTTTTCTTTTCTTTTCTTTTCTTTTCTTTTCTTTTCTTTTCTTTCTTTCTTTCTTTCTTTCTTTCTTTTTCTTTCTTTCTTTCTTTCTTTCTTTCTTTCTTTTCTTAACAGGGTCTCACTAGGTAGTGCAGGCTGTCCTTGAACTCACTATGTAGCCAAGGCTGTCCTTGAATTTACGGCAATCCTCTTGTCTCAGCCTCCCAAGTGCTGGGATTATAGGTGTGTGCCACCATGCCTGGCTCTCCTGAAACTTTCTAAAATGAGCCAGATAATAAAAGAGGAGACAACAATAAAATTTGGGAAGCTAGAAAGCAAACTGGAAAAATAGTAACTGACTTAGCAGACTCAAGATAGCTGAGTGGGGAATAATGAGAACCAAACTCTTTCATCTCCTAATTCTTAAGAAGCCTGAGTATCAGCAGAACAGGTGTTTCTAGAGGCTTGTATGATGGTTAATTTAATAAAAGGATTGGTTAAAATCTATTAAGAAAAATAGGATTTCTATCTCTGCTAATATGACGCTTCCACTTTTTTCTTTTTCTTGAGACAGGGTCTCGCTTTATAGTGTGAATTTCCCATGTAGCCCAGGTGGCCTTGAACTCATGGCATCCTTCTGCCTCAGCATCCCAAGTGCTTAGATTAGCAACTCTTCTATAGAAACTACCAAAAACCCTGGAACTTAGAAAGTCATAAAAATGAGTTAACAACAGCTATGAAAAGACACTTCTAACACATATAGCAGTATATTGATAACCTCCAAATTAGAACTAGCGCAAATGCCCATCAATAAGAATATAGATACACAGATTGGTATCTCTATTTGTTAGAGTATAATTGTTAAAAGAATACCACTTGGCAATTAAAAAAATGAACAACTAACATATACAATAACATAGGCACTTCTCAAGACATTATTTTGAGTGGGAGAAAACATACACAAAAGTACATATAGTACGACTCATTTGTATTAAGTTTAAGAACAGGATAATATAATCTCTTGTGGCAGTAATGAGAATTAAGGCGGAAGTGGAGACCATGAGGAGGTTTGCAGCGGTGGCAGAAATGTCTTACATCTTGGTTTGGGTTGTAATTATGCAGGTGCTGACATTTATTGAAATTCATAAAACTGTACACTTAAGATTTGTATGTTTGAGCTCAGCATGGTGGCATACACTTGTAATCCTAGCACCCAGGAGACTGAGACATAATGATCACTGTGAGTTTGAGGCCAGCCTTGGCTATACTGTGAGTTCAAGATTAGCTTGAAATATATAGTCTCAAAACAACAATAACAAAAACAAAAAACAAAAAAAAAAGAAAAAGACTTGTATGTTTTACAATGGTTTACAAAATTACCATTGTAAATGTAATTTTTAAATGTAAACTTTACCTCAAAACACATATGAAAGAAAAAAAATATAAGTAGTTTGGTGATAATAAAAAAATTCTGCATAGATTAAATGGTGAAATATAAAAGGCAAAATTATATAACATTTAGAAGATTGTCAGTTTTAAAACATGGCTCCCAAACCCTTTAACATCCCTTCTTCTCATCTGTTACATCTGACCAATAGTGTAAGGGTCACCATCTCAGTTTCTTGTCCTAGGGATTAAGAAACTAGAAGCTTCCATTTCCTGTTTCTGGGGACATTTGCTCCTGAATCCTAACTACTATGTGTCAGGAAGCAATGTTCTCTAATGAGAGAGATCTCTATGAAGAAAAACCAACAGCAGAACTGACATGTCAGCCATGTGATAAAAGTGGGTCTTCTAGTCCTTGTCTGCCACCCCAGCAGACACCATATGCCATAGAGACAGACTTCCCCACCAAGCCCCGTCCTTAGCGTTTTTCCAAGCCATGAAATTCTGTGGTGGTATGTCACACAGCAGAAGACTATTAGAACAGATTCTGCACATGGCATTGACTTCAAAACCGCGGAGCAGAAAGCAGCAGACAAGGCCAGAAGAAGAATGTCAGTGAAAACTGTGAGGAGCTTTGAGGAGAGTTTTGTTTGATTTTTTTTTTTGTACTAAGGATTAAACTCAAGGCCTTCACGCTGAACTGCATTTCCATTTATTCACTAATTATTTTGAGACTGAGTCTTGCTAAATTGCCCAGACTAGGCACAAACTTATGATCTTCCTGCCTCAGCCTCCCTAAATGCTGGGATTACTAGTGAGTGCCGTCACACTTGGCTGAGGAGAACTTTATTGGAAGCCTAAAGGTTCCCCAGGAGGCTGTCAGTGAGGGTTTAAAGGAAAGTGAGGAACGTCCTATAGGAAGATGGAAGACAGGGCACGTTTGCTAGGAAGTGACTAAAAGTTTAACAAGACTGTTGTCTAAAGTGACATGAAAACAGGAAAGGTACCCAATAGCTAAGCTTTCCAAAGTAAGAAAAGTGCCACCTGCCTTCTCATTGCTTAAAATAAAATGTAAGATGAGACATGAGCTTTAAAAATATACACAGACATATACATTCAGGATTTTCAGTGTTTACAAACCAAACTGCTTCTCATTTCTAGGCCCTCCAGAAGGCAAATGACTATCAAGTAAGGAAGGGTCAAAGATCAATTCCAGAATGACATAATACTATGCTTTATTAAGATGACAAAAAGATCTAAGAATGTGTTTCATGACCTCTTTCAGATCAAAAAACTCTCTAAGAATGTTAAGGGCAAGGCTTGCAGATTCTTTCCTTTAAACAAAAGAAATCGTAAAAATCTTAAGGGTATTGTCCTACAGCTGCAGGTACACAGAAGGCCCAGAGCAGCAATGGGCTTATCTTTAGAGATCTTTGGTTGCAGCTTTTGTGTCACAAAGAGAATCCAGATGGTATTCAGAGAAAACTCAAATTTCTGAGACTCCTTCTGGTGAAAGGATTGCCAGTATGGATTAGAAAGTTTAATACAGATAGTGATGGGGCTGCTTCTCTCCACTCACTGCTGGACTATGCTCTTTCATTCACCTGAACCTGCACAATGCCCCAGGGCTTGTCCTAAGGCTTACTACATGGAGGTAGAGATAAGAAAAGCAAAGATGCCCCTCAAGCCTGCCCTGAAAAATTCCAAAATTCCAAACAGGATGCACGTGCACCAGACTTGCTGCCATGACCTACAGTAATCGTGTATTGCCATGACCTACAGCAATACTGCTAGGGAGCTCATTTAAGGTTCATGCACATGGACTGCATCTCATACACCCAACTGTAACAGAATGAATCATGAGAAAGTATATATGCAGTAGGTGCAGCTGACATGATTCAGCACCCTTTCTATCATGTTAATCATGTTCTGGAAGACCCCAATGGGAGGCACCCCAGAATTGGCACAAACATTTAAAACCCTTACATCTTACATCCTCAGCATTTGCGCTATTTTCTTCTTGCAGACATTAGCTCGTTCACTCTGAGTGTGCTATTGCCTTCATAAACTGCTTTTTCTTTACTATCATGCACCACGTCCAATTCTTTGTTGATTGCGCACAAGAACCCAGCAGCCTGTCCTGGACTCCATCACCCACAGTAACAGGATTACAGATGATACACAACAGAAATAATACTTTGGACCCCCAGCCATTTATAGGCAAAAGACTGAGAAGGCAATCTCTGTTTGCTCATAGCAAAAGAAGTCTGATTTAGAAGACAAAACAAAGAACTATGGAAAATAACTTCCAGGAAGTGATACTGGACCTGATTAAGGAGCTGGCAACATGTACCCAGCTGGATTTCACAATTTCTACAGATGAGAAATGTGTTGACTGATGTATGCAGTTTCTCTCCCTTTTGATGAGTGTCT